CTTGGTATTTCTTTCACATTACATTGGAAAGTTCCTAATGAACAGAAGCTTCAGGTTTGATATTTATCTAACAAATTTATTAATGATGTTAAATTTGTTATTATTTGTCGTGCTGTAATAGTCCAGTACTAATAGCTAAAATAAAAAAATTGTTATTAATGCTAACGATTTTTTTTTATAAGGATGGACATGTGTTAATTGGCAAAGAGAATGTCTTTAATGGTTTGAAACTCGGAGTTGGTAATTGTGTTGGTAGTCGATTGTTGAGTATTCAAAATGTTACTTCTGAAGATGAAGGTGATTATGTTTGTGAAGTAACGGTACATTCTGGACATAAAAACCGTGCTACATACAAACTTAAGGCATTCAGTAAGTTTTATAAATATCTTATAACTAAATTATTTCATATTTAAATATATACTTGCAGCACCTGATATGACTTATTTAAGTTTGTCAGTCCAAGGTAATGTTTATGTAATAACACGGAAGGCAAGAACTCGGCAGGTACAATGGATAATTCAAGTATCCGCATATCCAAAACCATCTCTTGTATGGTAATTAGAAAAACAATAAAATCAATTATTTAAATTATTGTTATTGTAAAGTTTGTAATTTTTTATTGTATTTTATATCTATAGGAGAGATCCTAATGGTAAAGAATTAGGGATGAATCCAGAAAAAATATCAGTGGAAAATGACAAAAGTACATCCAAATTAGTAATAAAAAATTTAGAGCTGTTTGATTCCGGTACATATGAATTAGTTGCAGATAATGATGCACATGTGAAACAAATTACTGTAACCTTGCTAGTTGAAGGTAACTGATAATACCAACATTTTTGGATGCAATAGTTTTTTATTTTGTTATTTTGTTTATAATATATTTTTCAGATAAACCAATAGTTGAAATAATCAATAGTTCCAACTCAAAATTATTTCATGAGCTGGGAAAAATGTATAGTATTGAATGTTATTTAGGTGGTTATCCTTTGCCAGAAGTTGATTGGGCTTTTAAAAAATGTCCAGATTATCCTGAGTGTGAAGATTCATTTACCCATATTCCTGTAAATTTGTTTGTTGATACCTATTTCCAAAACAA